GAAAGTGGTAGTCTGCTCAGCTTGAATTTTCCGATTGTACCACGGTAGGACCCGCAGGGAAGCTGAGAAAGGGCGTTTGAGACTTTCCAATTACCCCGTTTAGGCATATTTGGAATGGGTCCTTCAAAATGTGCATCATAGCTTTGACCTGTAGATACAAACTTGCAACTCTGCATGCTGCCCCAACACGTACTGCACGGGTAGGCGTGGTGTAACTAATATATGAACATGATCGGAATGGACACGACACGGTTTTGAATGCGCGCACAAATGGCAAAACGTTGCCTGAAAATTATGGACAACTGTGACGGAGTGACTGATGGAAATTCTAACGTTATTCTCGCGTGGCTATATAGTTGACATTTGGTCAACAATATAGTCTTTAATTACAACGAGATAAAATCCCCAAAACTGATTTTCCTCAGCCTGTAATAATAGTTCTGCATTGCTGCTCAAAGTCTCATGGTAAACAAGTAGAAACGATAATTTCCCCATCATCGGCAAACCGATAAATTTGCCTCTCGTGGAACGTGACGCCACAGTCAATGGAAACTGGGCAAAGCTTGTTACCAATTATCGTGTGTGAGATGCCATTTAATCCGACGCAACTGGTTATCAGTAAGAACACCACGCCTCAGAGAAGACTTGTAAAAGGAGCTGGTGTAACGTGTAATGGATGAAGTGTTGTCTTTAATCCAGAACCTCTTGAACTCGGACGCCTTCCCCCAGACTCTATAACTCTCCCCACGAGATATCAGGATCTCTGAATCTGCGAACATTTTAAAAGATATACTTAAACTTTTAGCTAAGTCAGCAAATGGCTTGTAACGTTTGGTTAATTATTTTTTCCATTTTCTTAGCTGTTCGTGATGCGTCTTATGATGAAAAGACGCTTCATAAATATAATTATCTTCTTTCTCAGCTTCTCGTGCATATCTACGTGATGGGAGGGTATGCTACAATGTCTGCCCCTCGTAACGTCCACTGTCCAGTCCGTTGCATTTCCCTGGTCCATTCGATGGAGAAGTTTCTGGGCAGCTGCGGAAATTGTGCTCACACTCCCTTAGTGGCAAGTGAACTGACCACGAAGCTACCCGGCTGTGTGTACTGTATAAAAGGCATGCGAAAATATTATTAGGCGTCACATTTCTTTACTTTGTTACACTTTGATCCCTTGCGGAATCATAAATCGTTTACCTGTGTCAGAACTATGTCTGGAGATACCGATGCGACGTGATGCAAAGTAAAACCTCATTTTATGACATCCTGTAAAAAAATATATATATCTAAGATCGAATTCAACGTGGCTTCCAACTCAGACGAGTTGCTCATCTCCTCCTTGCAGTCCTTCACAAGTGGGGTAAATTACACATTCCTATGGCGGATGAAATGCTATCCATAGAGCTGCCAGTGTAAGAGTAATATTATATGATGATTAAAATCGAGAATAGGCAGGGGGGCACATTGTCGAGACACTTTGCTATTAACCACGCTGCTTGAGTTTGATTCATAAGCCACTGCTGACATCAGTGGAGACTGATGTTTGCAACCGGTCCTGGCCACCTCCTTCACCAACCCGCACTGACCGGTGTGGTGAAGTATGGTCAAATAAGCATAATGTTTGATATGCAACTTGTCACAGTTCACGGTTTGAATCCAGCGGTCGCCCTGATTAATACTGCGTGTGTATTAACCATAAAAACACATGCTGTCTGTATTCATATTGGTTCTTTCGGTAAAGTCACGTTGACTTTACCGAAAGAACCAAGAATATGAATCACTGCAGTCACGAAAGCTTTAAATCAAAACATGCTGTCTGCTTCACAAGAGTAGGCTTTGTGCTCTCGTGTCATTCAAATTCGCTAAATTTAAGGAAATTACACATCAATTGTTTCACTCCATTTTAAATTTACATAGCAAACATGCTGTACGACGTGGTAGTACCCTCATCAATGAGGGTCGTGAGACTCAGTGAGGCTTTCCTGTGTAAACAAGCGTAACAGTAAAAATCATAGTGATAACGTAAATTATATTTTTGAATGTTTTGTAACTATAATACAGGATATGTATTCTCTACTCTCAGGCAGTTGGCCATTATAATTGCGATGCGTCACATAATTTGTGGGAAATAACAGTTTTTATGTCATTCTAGTCGGATGAAAAATTTTCTATTTTGAGAGAATCAGAGGCAATTCCTCTTCTAAGCAACGGACTCCAGCACGTGTATGACACAAACACATCTTTACATACACGCACACGTATGTACGTTGAACTTCTTTTGCACCGTACGTAGCTAAGCATGCTAATTGAAGGTGTGGGGAAGGACACCAAACTAAACATAAAAAGCAGCTCTAAAGAAACGAATTTCCAACCTAAATTTAAAAGTGCATATAGCGCAATGATTTGATATGGCAAGAGGACATCAACACATCACATCGTGTGGCTCCACCACATTGTGCAACAAATGGCACATGTTTCAAATGTCTTTTTGTTAGCCATAAAAAATGAATACTGAATAAAGAATAAAAATCGCGAGGTACAAAAATATCACTCCAAAACATGTACCCACACCCTGTAAATTCTGTAAGACAAAAAACTATTCTGATATTGTGTTGGCAGAGGTGTACGAGCAATACACCGGCACAAATGATCAAAACCCAACACATGTATCAGCAACACTGTCCTAAAGAGTTAAATATATTATTCAATGGGTCTTCTTCATAGCAGAGAGATCTTCAGAGCATTGCCTGAAATGTCACCTACTATATATTCTTTTTAGGACAGTGTTATTAATGAATGTGTTAAGTTTTCATCATTGGTGTGAGAGTTTTGTTAAAAGTCCATGTATGCTCAGCAGCTTTACGTAAACTTAGAGCACGCGCACTGAAGATTTATTTTCAAATGTGGCAAAATAATTGGTGAAGCTTGAGTTTCCGTTTGCACTTTGACAAACCCACTATTAGACTTGTCGCTTCAAACTAAATTCAAACCTTTGCATCGCTTACCGCCCTCATCACCCTACCACAAACCCGTTTTGAAAGTTGTGCATTGCTTTGTTTTAAAACATAACGCCCATTTTTAACGGCCTGCACATTTGCACGAACGCATTGCAATTGACGAATGCTAAATTAATAATTTCCGGTGCAGGACAAAACCGCACGATACAGTACATTTCCCCTTGACAACGTAGGGGGTCTCTGCTTAGTCAGAATACAGAGTGATACTTCCTGTCGCCGCCGTCGCCACCACCGCCACACAGAAAGGCCACTCTCCGCCAAATAATGGCCGAGCTCCAGGCCGGGGCCGCAGGGCGTGCCGCGCAAGTGCTCGGCAGCAGCAACCGAGATTTGGCGACGCGTGGTCTCCGATCCCCAAAAAATAAAAGAAAGAAAGTGATTTCTTTGGGGATAAGTGAGAGGTTGTGTGAGAGAATTTTGGAATGGGTTTCACCCATTCAGCCGGCAGCATGCTGATTCACAGTAAAGGCTGAGTCACATCTGTGCAGATGACACATCGAATTCCTACAAATAACACTGGCCATGTCAAAATATGATTACCCCCCCCAACCCACCATTAGACCACTCACCACGCTGGGAAATTTGTCACTAAAACTCATGAATGCATCAGAATTGAACCTACTGTATTTTGAATTGTTGAAATGTATTTAATATGATGCAGGGCATACCCATTGTGTCTTCTGATATGGTACCAAAATATTAATGCCAAATCATCAATTGGGGTTATTTAATGGTAAGAATTCTCTGAATTATTTCCTTTAAAAGTTGTTGTTTTGTTATTATTACCTTGGACATTAACATCGGTTTAGTTTTCTTAGAATGACCTTGTTGCCAACCCGTGGCGTATTGTGGTCGGCATGGCCCTGGTGGAAGGAATGAAACGGGGCCTCCAGTCCAGTTTTCCCCCCCCTGCTACGTATCTCATCGCCTTGGACTGCCTCCTGCAGGTGGGCCCTGGCGCAGTTGCACCGCCTGCACGCTCGATAGCTACACCCACTGTTGCCGACATATCTGTAGCTGTGCATGGCCACAGCGCGAATTGCTCGCAGATCTCTGTGGTCTACTATGCACTCTCCTTATCAACCCGGCGTTTGTGTGCGTATCCATTGCTCTTTTCCATCCGGCGACTTGCAGAATTCATCGTTGCCATTCTTCTGCTGGCACCTTATCCCATCATCGCTCTCCAAGAGTTTCCATCACTGAACACGCCGGGGGGGGGGGGGGGGGGATTTGGTCTGTTTTGGGTTTTGTTTCTGCCCTTATATGGATCGGATGGCGTGAATGGGAGTGTGGAAAACATTGAGTCTTTTTTTTCTTGGCCGTTTGGTGAGGTGGCAAGGCTCGATGAGATAGCAGCATTCGCATGTGTTTTTTTCGCTTTAATTTTTTATTTCCAGCAAACCCCCCCTCGGCACCCCCTTTGTGGTGCCGTTTCGTGCCTCGGCAAGCAGTTTCCAGCCACCAGCCTCGGCCCCCGCTTTCCCGACAGACGCGAATAGGACCCCGTGACGTTGAACTGATCGCTGGTGAGGTCCAGCTTCTTGCTCGTCTCTTCGTTTAGTCCACGATCCTCGCATCCTCAGACAACAGCCCCCCCCCCCCCTCCGCCTCTCATCTTTGTCGTGTTGTTTATTAATTTTTTCATCATATATATAAGTTTCACTTTGAATTCAGACATTTGGGTTTCTCTTGGGGTTTACGATCGACTCCCACTGGAGCGAAAGAAGGGATCTTGGTGGCCATCTTAAGGTACATTTGTAAGTGTGTGTATATATGTATATATGTGTGGGGAGCAGCAGTACAGCGGTTAGTGCTACGCTGCGCTACGAACCCGGCGACCCGAGTTTGATTCCCGCTCACGGCCAACACCGATGACGATTATCAGAACCGGTTCTGGGCCTCTCCCTAGGTCGACTGAGCCTCAAATTAGTTCCTGGTGCGGTGTGTAAACATCGCCACTAGGGAGACAAAGGCGGTCGGGCGTGGTGCTGGCCACCCACCTCCTCGTGTGCCGTGCCGGCCTTCATAGGTGCTCGCTAACAGCACTTGCCCCTACAGTCTGTTACAGGCTATACGGGGGTCTTTGTGTATGTGCACGCATGGCCTTGTGAGTTATGTATTTCCTGGTAAACGCTTTCTTAATAACTTCAAATTCACTTTGTTGCAGTATTGACAACGCTACAGTGCTGTTTAATGTGTATTGCATTATCGGGCCTTTGATAATAATTTATTGAAATATTGTAATTACCATTTTATTCTTATTATCGCATAGCTTTTAGCCCAGTTTACATACTAAAATCCTTTAACCATGTCTACAGTATTTTTAATCACTGGTCATAGCTGATTGAATATGAAACAGAACTATACCCTTTTTAGCATTTATGTTGCGGTATCACGCAGCAGCAGCAGTAATATTTATTACTATTATAAACATATATGTAACATTGCCTCTTTAAAATGTTGTTCTTCGTCCACTTATTGCAAGGAACCTATATAATATACAAAATCGATTTGTCGCTATTTTCTTTTCTTGTTACAAACTTCGTTAAAATGAGAAATCACAAAAATGTAATTAAAACCGCCCATTTGGTGATTAATTATTTTACTTTAACTTGCCTGCAAACTTTACGCAATAATGTTACCGTAATATCTAAAGAAATTATTAAATTAACAATAAATTACCAGTTTCCCCAAGCCTAAACGGGTATTGGCGAGTACTCATTTCCATAGGCGGTCCTAATCCAGCTGTGGGTAACTCCACATTCCTGTGTTGTGAATCAGCCTCTCCATAAGAACAACAAAATGACAACTTCCCATCAAATGTTGTTCACCTTAACGGTTTTTATTTTATTGGCCCCAAGAGGGATGATGGGCTGTGTCTACCGCGGCGAGAATTTTAGCTCACAATCTCGCACGCGAGCGCGCTACCTTTCTACCAGCTGCACTCTATCCCGCTCAATAATAACCAAATAATTGAACGAATTTTCACCAGCCACCACTGCCCAGTGTGGTGAAATATAGTCAAACAAGGCTCAAGGTGGACGTGGAAGTAACTTAACAAAAGGAATGTCAAATATTCGATGATTTTAAGAGTTAATTGAATACTATGTTAATCAGTGCCAGTGCATTATAGGCAATAGCATTTTACCATGGTTGTAGTGTTCAGAGTGAACAGGTAGTTTTCTATTTGTGTGCTTGAGGCCATGATACACTTGTGCATGTATAGAACAGCTGTCAGCAAACAGTCATCACATTATTGCCAAAACGATTTTTCCATTGGCTAAACTGCACTCCTGTCTCTCTACGCCACTGCTCTTTTACGTTTTTCGATAGTTGCTCATACTTAATGTGTTTTCCCGCGACCGTTGTTACAGCAACGATTGCCCAAAAATTGCGTCGCAGTCATGGACAGGGCTGGATTAACAGGGGGGGCTGCACAGCCCAGGCCTCGGATTTTGAGGCACTCCAAGCAATGTAAAGGGCTTAATAAATGTTGAAACACAATCCTGCAACACTACAATAATTCACATTTTGGTAATCTGGTAACGAAAGCCAAAGCGTCACTGTTCACATTAACACCAGTTATGTACAGAAATTGAATTTTTTTAACGTAGATTTCGTTTTTACAATTGTATATCACATTATACACATATATATAGTCCTGAGATAACCAAGGAAAATAGCAATGGAGTGTTTGGCATTGGGCATGAGTGGTCGCCAAAGAGCAAACGAGGAACTTCAAATACAAATAGGGAACGCAACACTACAACAGCCTCGTACTCAAACCCATTCTGTGTGTACGCACAAAAAAATAAACATGTTTTGTGTCATCAGCCTATTGGCTTTTTCCAGCCAAATATTATCAAGCAGCCTTTGTTTAAACGTGCAAATTATGGACTGGTTTTGACCTTCTGGGTCTCATCAGCAGAGTGAGACGTGCTCAACAAATGCTGCCATAGTCGCCCACCAAACTTTATCGAGCCCTGAACATGAGATTTCCCACTGAAATAAGCATTCCTCTTCTCCAGTTCACAGCCCTCAGAGCCAGTGGCGGAAATGCAATGTTCACGTGGTTGGGGGCGAGTCTCTAATACAGTCACTGTTGGCTTCCCCAAAAAGTAGTTATAATTTTATCGACCGTGCACGGATGCTGAACTGAGTCAATCCTATTGCGAAACACTTGCTGTACCGCGAGTCGCTCATTCGGTGTTTGTGTGTGTTGGGGAGGACTAGGCCCGACTCGCTGAGCCGGCACCGCAATGATGGCTTGCGGTGCGAGCCGAGGCCACGGAATGGGAGGAGGAGGAGGAGAAGGAGGGTGGCAGGGCATGGGGCTGATGGCGGTGCCGTTCCCTGAGCACGCACGCGACGTGCTGGCCTCACTGGACGAGCTCCGTCGGGCCGGCTGGCTCTGCGACACGCAGGTGAACGTATCGGGGCAGCTCTTCCCGGCTCACCGTGCCGTCCTGGCCGCGAGCAGTGGCTACTTCCGCAAGTAAGCGAGCGAGTGAGCGCCTGAGCCGCCTCCGCCACGTCGGCACGAACCCGGCGCGAACAGAAGAGTACTTGTGGATGTTAGGGCAAAAGTAGTGGCCCGGTGGCTTAAGACTTGCGGCTAAGGTTGCTGCGTCTGATGTAGAAAAAACTGGGATGGTGTGTGGGAAGATAATGTCTCACAATCCCCTTATAATGGGGAGAACTACAAGTAAAAGCATTGTCTTGAGCAGTGTTGTACAAGTGGTGTACAAGTGGTGTACAAGCATCTATAACTAAACACTAATAAAAAACAGAACACTTTCGTTCATAACACTGTAGCTTTAAAATAAAAATATAATAGGTGTCGTTTCGAATGACCCTTCTTCTGAGCACATTAAAAAAAATGTATTTTAACACCACAGTTTTTGACGAATGTGTTTGTCTTTTTTACAACAAAAAAAAACTGGATTAGTTTAACGTCCCAGGCAGACTTACAGATTTTCCAGTACACTTATCTCAATAAGAGGACAATCCTGGGAAAACCTAGTCAGAGCATTCAGCGGGTATGAATTAATATTGGTTCATCTGCATATTTTTACCACCGGGAACAAATATTTGATGAATATGTATTCCTCCAAGGGGAACGGATATTCGCTCCTTCCTCTACATGAGGGTAAAGGTTTTGGTCGGTTCTTCCTTCATAAAATACCAACTTTCAAAGAAAAAAATAAAAATAAAACCACATTGGTTAGGATGACGCTACGTAAAATTATACGGAAAGCAAAATGAGCAACTATTTCAGGAGCAACTATGGAATGTGATCTTATTTTTTTTACTGTACGGATAGAGACTTATATTCAAAGAAGCTTACTTTGTTCCCAAAAATGAAGGAGGTACAAATATTTTGAAGGGGAACCAATATTTCTGAGTTTTGGTCCCTGGCAAGAAAGAATATTGGAATATTCCAACAAACATTTCTGGAGGAATTAATATTTCTCGGGAATATTTATTCTCCGACACAGTCGGAGCTAATAGCCTGCGTTTTAATCCAGGTTTCAGCTGACTGATTAAACAAGGTTCTTCTGAAGCATTGTGAGATGATGGTCTCAGCCATGTCACCAATGACGATTAAAAGACGATCACAGTTAACACAGGTATCCCTCGATTTACGAACGGTTGATTTACAAATTTCGCGTGAACGCCATTGACAAATTATGGCTACTTATCTATGAACGAAATCGAATTTCCACGTTAACGAAATTTCACTACGGCACGCACCATGAGATCACACAAGAAGCACCCGGGAGGCTGTGTCATCCGTACGCGACACTGTCACGGTATCCCTGCAGCGCAACCTCCACAACACCTTTCCGGCCATTCCAACACGCAAATCTTTTGGTGAGTTCCCTGAAAACGTTAATTATTTTGGTTTAACAACTCATTATTATTGGAATGACTATTAGAAAAACACCCCTAATTTTGAGCATTAAATTAATGTTTTTTGAAGAACGCATCCCTTTCATAAATCAAGGGATACCTGTATTTCCTTTTCAATTCATTTGACTAAATTACAGCCCTGGGAATTAAAATGTCAGTTTGACTCCGATGCGATGAACAATTCCCTGCAGCAAGACGTGTAAAAATGTGCAGCACCCCTAATTGTGTGGTTAAAATAGGTCATTTGAAGGGATTTCACACGTAGTTCTGTCAAGCCTCCTTCCGTAGGCTGTTCTCTAATGCAGAAGGTCGCGCTGATGTGCGAAAGTTCCAAACGCACTTGGTTGAATAACATAACACCGAGAGCACAACCGGAATAAAACTTGGGGAAACCACCCCCCCCCCCCCCCCCAACCGCCTATCCACCAACTCCCCAAACGGCAAAAATCAAACGTGCTAACGCTTTGCTTAGCCATGACCGTCACGCACGACGAGAGCAACGCTGCACTTGCCGACTGTGGTCGCGTGTGTTCGTGGCGGCCAGGCTCTTTGAGAACGAGGATCGTCACGGGGTGGTGCGGCTGGATTTCGTGGAGGCCGAGGCTTTCTCGCGCCTGCTTGAGTTTGCGTACACGGCCACGCTGACGGTCGACCCCGCGCGCATAACGAGCCTCCTCGAGGCGACGCACCTCCTGGAGTTTGGCCAGGTGGCCAGCGTCTGCTCGGACCTCCTGAACGCCTCCGCGGAGCCCGGCAGTGGCGCGGGCGACGTCGCGGTGCCGAGGCGGGAAGACGGCGAGGAGTGGCTCTCGAGCCACGCGGCGGAGCGCGCGGGGAAACCCGCGCTCCGGGACGATCGTCCTCTCGAAGCGCGGGCAGGGCCACCGCCGTCGACGGGGCCGCACGCACGGGAATCCGAGGCAACGGTTCAGAAGGACTGCGTCCGCGGGACCTTGCTGAGCCAGCAAAGGACAAAGAAGTCGAGAGGGAAAACAAAACTCGCGGCAGGCGGCGCCGACGCATCGATGGATGGTGGCGTTTGTGACAACGGCGAGGATTTGGCCTTAGACCTGAGCTCACGGCCGGAGGATAAGAAGAAGCCGGCACGCAAGCCGAGACCGGGGCTCATCCCGTCATCGCAGGACCTCCTGAGTCCGGCGATTCTGCTTCAGAAGAGTGGGGATGTAATGGATGACGCTGCTGGGGCGGTCCTGGAAACTGGACTGCAGATGAGCTGGGGGTACGGGCCCGAGGAGCCCTACGATGCTCCGAGGGCCCCCAAAGTCTGTCAACCGTGCCCCATCTGTAACAAGATGATCAGAGGTGCTGGGAAGTTGCCGCGTCACATTCGCACCCACACGGGAGAGCGTCCCTACCCGTGCCATCTCTGCGGAGTGCGCTTCACCAGGTGAATGATTTATTTTAACTATATCGTACACTCCCACAGCGGTACACCTCCGATTAGGATGGTTAGCTATGTAATGGTGCGAAACAAGTTAAATATGCATACGTGGGCAACACGCCTGTCAGTTGATGGGCAGGACCGTGTGTGGTCGGTTCAAATGAAGGTACTCCCACATGTTCAAAGATACCTGGCCAGCGTGGAAGAGTAGGCCAAATACCCCCCTAGAGGAAGTTGTTTGGAGCTGCCCCTAGTGGAGGCCCTTACGCCAGCAGTGACGTGAGTAAGAAATTCCCCGGCTGCACTTTTACCGCCCTTCGCAAAGCATTGTCGTCAATCTGTAGGTTTGCACCACGTACACATACGGCCCTTTTGTCGATCCACTGCTGGATGACAACCTCCCAAGGTCATGCAAGGTTGCGGGGGATTATCGGGTCCGTACTTCACCACGCTGGTCAGTGCGGGTTGGTGAAGGCGTGATCAACGTGTGCTTCCTTCTCTTGCCCTGCACGTAGGCCCGCAGCAGCCTGCAGCAACCTGCACTATCTAAGGTGGTCGCGTGTTAAAGCACTATCCAGGCTCAACCCTCCCGCCTAGCTTCTGGGATATGACGATATCGGGCGCGTTCTGAGTAATTTGGTTCAAGGTACGCACGTACGGATGGTTTGGAATAAAAAAAACTTGAAGAAATGCTGCTTTACAACTAAAATAAAATGTTAATATTTTGTCATGACTGAAATTATACATATGTAAATATGCTGTGCACTGTCTGGTAAATGTAGAAGAATTGACATTATGCATGCACTGCATGAATGTATGTTTACATTCTTCCATTGTGCATATTTCGATATTTAAGAAAAGCAACAGAAGAACTGTACTCGTTAGTGCTGTTAGCATCACATGACTGGGAGAAGTGAGAGTGGGTTGGGAGGCCTTCATGCAGCCAGTAGGTTGACCATGCCCGATGATGATCATCATGATTCTGTTTTTAATACACGAATGCAATGTATTTATTTTAGCATAAACAGACGCTTTTAGCACGACTTTTGTGTTTCTTAAATGACAACTGTATTTACATTCACGGTACATTTGGAAACATTCTTGTCATTCATTTACTTCTTTATTCGTTCGTTTGGCTCTTTCGAAACACACATCACAATTCCCAGCTGGTGCAAGGAGATCCTTTGTACATCATATTTATTCTCATCATCATATTTAATGTATTTTGTTTATTTGAGCATTAACGCAACTGATCATAGCATCGTAATCACCCATGGCCAATCCATTGCTGTATTAAGGCCTTCCGAATCTGCAAAAAGCTCTGACGACCCAGCGATGCAACAATCCAGCTAGCACCACCTGCATGCGAACCGATATCATCGCTGCATCCCCTCGGTGGACCTCCTCTCTCGGACGTGTTCCATTCCCTGGGCTGCCACTCCGCTATTATTCTTGACCATCGTCCCTTCTAGCGACGTCTCTGTGCTGCGCGCCTGTGGTCCCAACGTTAGTAGGCGGAGCGAGCCCAACTTTCTCCCGTTCCCCTGCCCCGAGAGCACCGCGCCTCGGGCTTTTGTGCTGAGGAATTTCTGCGCCCCATCCCATTTGTGTCGCTCGCGCCTTTGTCACATAAAACTCTGGTAAACCGTCGAGTAACGTGGACTCCTGCGCGTTGTTGTCTCTGTGTTTTGCCAGGCAAGACAAACTCAAGCTGCACCTGCAGAAACACGAGCGGCTCGGCAGCTGTCGCGCGGGCCGCATGAAGCCCACGCACTACGGGACTCTGTAGTCATCGTCTTGCCGCTGCTTCTTCCTCTTCTTCTTCTTCTCGGTCTTTTGTTAAAGTCACCGCTTTCGGTGGTTGGGTAGGAGAGGAGACATTTATTGACAGTAGACCGAGCGGCAGCAATGGGAATGATGCACTGCTGCGAATGCAATGCGACCGTGAAATGTCTGCAGGGTTTGTGACCTCGACCGCTACCTGGTGTCAAGTATTACAAATCAATTTGCTGTTATAATGACCACAGCTATGAAATGTTTGTTTCTGTATCATATGTAGATGTGGAGGTGATTTACAGTCGTTGACTTTTGGTTGCATTAATAGATTGCCTGTTTAAATATTTTTTTCAAGCTCTATACCAAAGCACTATTTATATGTATAAAAAAATGCAATTATCCTATGGAACACAACGCATTTTCTTTGTGATGCTTTTAAGGGAGTGAATAATTTATGATAGCTCTGGCTGTGAACACTGTATTTGCCTATATTGTTTTACAAGTATTTCACTGAGCGACACAGGAATTATAACAATAATACAATAATAATACAATAATAATACACAGCCTCACTGACTCTCAAGGATATTTTTTCAGGAGGGTCCTACAATACATTGGGATGTTTGGCAAAGTCTACTCATGATGGTCTGGAATTATGATGTTTATAATTTAATATTGCTGGAGAGTAGGGGGGGGGGGCAAATGGGCGCCACGGTGGCGAGATGTTAACTACCTCGCCTGGTATGCTGGAGGTTGTGGGTTTGATCCCGACTCAGACGCCTGCTGCTGTATATTTGGAGTTTGCATGTTCTGCCCGGGGTGGTGTGGATTTTATATCGGGGTCCTCCGGTTTTTCCCTCCACATTCAGAAACATGTGCTTCAAGTATTTGGTTGATTTACAGTTCCACGTGATAATCCACTTGGATGAGCTATCATTTGTGGCCAGGTCGCTTCTGAAAAAGAGCTATGTAGCTCAGTGGGCCTTACCCGGTAAAATAACATAACAATTGTGAAAATTGGTTTAATTTAAAGTCAAGTGGAATGGCGGCTCAGTGGTCCACGCACTAAGCTATCACAATGACTGGTGACGTGAATTTGATTCCTGGTCATGGCCAACATCGGTGGCGAGCTATATCGGAACTAGCTGTCTTCACCGCCTTCTCCAACCCCACACTCGCCAGCGTTGTACATAAATGACTGTCAAGGCATTGGGGAGCCCTTGGTCCAGCAGTGGATTGATAAATGGCTGTAAATTATATTTGTGTATATATCTAGAAAGAAAAAAAAGTTTGTGTTATGTTACATTCGGTAGACCTCCTTGTACTGTCGTCGAACTCCTCTCTTACTCTCAGAATTATCTTAAATACTTTGACAGCCCCGATCGTGCAATTAATCCGTAAATCTCCACATACGAAGCTTTACATAGTATTCTACAGAGACTTTAACGTAGTGTTAAACAAATGCATATGAAAGGGAGACCACCGTGCGTGTATTCTCTTGATTAAGGCACTTTCTACTTTCCCAGACCACAAACAAGCACTCCAGTAGGTTCTGCCTGCTCCTCCTCTCCTCCACCGATCACCTCTCTTCATTAACTGCCCCAAACCGTCTTTCACCTCGTCATCCCCTTTTCCCGTCTTCTTCCCAATGGAACCTCTCGGGAAATCCCACGTCCCACTTCCTAGCAACTGTCTGACTCTACCCCGATAGTTTATATATTAGAAGCATCCTCCTTTGACCCTTACACGTGTATCATGTTCGCACTGCATTTCCAGTCACTGCGAAGGACTGATGATAGGGGCATAATCGTAAGGAATGATAAAGGTTTTGCTATTGGTGATACAATGATACTCAAGCCCTTTGACTATGATGTAAATGTAAATACAGGATAACTTGTATCCTTCACCCTATTTCCCGCTTCTCCTATTATCTCCAGGAGCTATAAGGTCAGTACCCCAATTTTTCCTATTTGTAATTATCCACACATTTTTTCCAATGGCTAAATGGAGTAAATTCGCAGATAACATCGCAGATAATAGGATGCACAACTTTCGTCCCCCACATCACTGGATAAGAGGAGCGCTATATTTAAGTCCTGTATGTCGAAATCATCTGCTGTGTATATGTAAAGGAGAGCCAACACAACGTTGCAGGGGGTTCATCTTTTATTCCTTCAGTCCACACTCGTCCCCATCCTTCTCAATCTCGTTCCTGCCAAGATCCCCCTTCTTCCCGCCCCTTCTCTCTCTTCTATCTCCTCGCTTGCTCCTTCACCTGTCACCGTCCCACTCCCCCTCCTTTCGGTGGGAATCCTTCCCCTGACATCCCTTACATATATATAAATCAGCTCAAGACTCCCCTGTTAGTGGGGTGACTTCTGCGTGGCCACAGCCGCACCAAATCTGTCCCCTCTGCCCGCCCCCTGTGAAAACAGACGCTTCAGTTTCTGCTTGCTCCTTGCTTTCATCTCCCCACCCCCCTCGCATACTCATCCCCGACACCTACAGTATGTCCTCGGCTCTATACCCCTCGCCGTGGGTGTGCCACGAGTGAACAGTTTTATTACATATAAATTGAAATGGGGTGGGAGATTCCCACAGTTGAGATAGGGGAGAAGAGAAGAGAGAGAGAGTTTGAAATAAATAAAAAATGACTCCGAGGTTATTCACGCTCTTCGTCAGCGTCATGTCAGAGTTTGCGTGGTACACCCTCAACCGAGAGTCGTTACTGGGTGTGGACTATTTGGTTTCCCCGAAGAGGATGACCTCATTTTTGGAAACGATTCGCTTGGAGACCGACAGAAGGAATCCAAGATGAGACCACGGCGTCGACGAGGCAGGACGCGGCAAGGGGACGTGAAAAGAACGCCGTCCCCGTCTTCGAACGCGTTCGTTCGGTGTAACATCGCCTCGACAGTATTGCAATCGTGAAGTGGTATTGCATATCGCTCGAGGGGTATTTAAAAATGTTGGGAGCAGGCCTGAATTGTTTTGTTTTTTGCTCACGCCACTGATGACGACCGGCTGTCCCCCACTAGAGGAGGCCGGCCGCACCACGCGTCGTTTGGACGCCCGCACGTTAAACCCACCGCACGTTAAACCCACCGCACGCGACCCTGCCGATCGACTTAACAGCGGTGAACCAATTGTTATAGTGCACTTGGGGGGGCCGTCCATAAATGACGTCACGCACCTAGGGGGGGGGGTCAGATATTTGTGACGATGTGTGACGAGGTGGGGGGGGGGGGGTTGAGAAATGTGACGTCACATCAAAATGCGCAACTTTAAATAAATATAGACAGCACGTTCTATTTAATTAAATATACTTTTTAATAAATGCTTTCTCCGACAACATCAGAGTGCAGCGCCACATTAAATATGCACTACAATGACAATAGTTTAAAGCGATTTGAAGCATGTTTTATATATTTTGGGGGGGGGCGGGGGGGGCAGAGCTTTGTGACGTCATATTTGAGGGGGGGGGTCTGACTTTTGTGACGCCGTGTGACGAAGAGGTGGGGTGGGGGGTCAAAAATCGTCCAAAATCGCGTGACGTCATTTATGGACGGCCCCTTGGCTGGGCCGGACAGAGAGACAAGGAGGGGAATGTAAGGAAGGAACGTGGCCCGCTGTGAAGAAACTTGAACCGTCAACTTGTCGCGCCAGGAGACGGAGTCGAACCCGGCGAACTTCGCCTTGCGAGTCCAGTGCGCTCGTGACCGTTAGAAGATGACTCTACAACGTGCTTGATGCAAACATGAGTGATGACAAACCTCACATTTTGACTAACAGGCCAAGTAATGTCCGTCTGGTGCAATATCAAGTGCACGCAACGATTTCATAGAAAGCAAAATATTTCAACAGAGGTCCGTGCGATAAGGACCAGTGTGAGTGTGTGTAAGGCTATAAATATGCTTTGGCGTTAGATGTGAGATTTGTGAAATAGGGTTTCACGAGCAAGCTGCGTGAACTGTATTGAGCACTTTGTGGCTAAACCCACAAGCAGAGGGCGCTATCTTGTGACTTTCTGCTGCGTTGCGTTGTGCATTCCAAATGTTGTCTCATTAGATTATCTTCCACAGGGCTTGACTCATTACCCACAGTCACGTAGGCAGGCCTGATGACGGTGAGAGGGGGGGGGAGATGGAGAAGGGAGAACAACTACCGGAGCCACAAATGCACAAGATGTTGTTTGTTTTCAACTTACATAACATGTGTGAGTAAATATAGTGTCGATGCAGTATCGGTAATATCCTGAAATTAATTGTAAAATGTGAAATTAAACAGATTTTCTTGAATTTCGATTTAAAGCTTTCGTGACTGCAAGGATTCATCTTCTTTAGTTATTTCGGTAAAGTCACGTAGAATGAGAATAAAATAATAAATTAATAAAATAACACAATAAAATTCTCACGACGTTTCGGCCACAACACAAGTGGCCTTCATCAGGTGAAGCGATTTGAAGCACTGTCCTCCAGACAGTCTCGTCCCTTCACCTGATGAAGGCCACTTGTGTTGTGGCCGAAACGTCGTGAGAATAGTATTGTTTTATTTTATTAATTAATTATTTTATTCTCATTCTACGTGACTTTACCGAAAGAACCAAAGAAGATGTTCTTGAATTAAGTGAGGTTATTATAAAACAAAACTTGAGGAAGGGCGGTGCGGAGAGAATTCCAAAGTCGAGCAGTGCGAGGGAGTGACGGGAAGTGTTTAACCTGCAGTGCGGTGGGTGAACAAAATATTTACGAGTGTTTAATGCAAGCGACGTGTGGTGCTTTCCCGGCTACACAAGTGTAAATAAAAACAAAAGTGAGCAAATATAAAATTTGCGTGATAAGGGGCCGTCCATAAATGACGTCACGCGATTTTGGACGATTTTTGACCCCCCCCCCTCGTCACACGGCGTCACAATAATTCAGACCACCCTCAAATATGACGTCACAAAGCTCTGCCCCCCCACCCCCAAAACCATATTTCCATTTTTAAAATAAAACCTGCTTCAAATCGCTTTAAACTATTGCCATTTTAGTGCGTATTGAATGCGGCGCTGCACTCTGATGTTGTAGGAGAAAACATTAAAACGTCTATTTAATTAAGTAGAACGTGTTTATATTTTTTGAAAGTTGCGCATATTGATGTGACCTCACATTTCTCAACCCCCCCCCCCCCGCAACACATCGTCACAAATGTCTGACCATCCCCCCCCCCCCCTAGGTGCGTGACGTCATTTATGGACGGCCCCTAAAGAGTGAATAAAACACTGATGAGTACACGCTGAACACGCTGATTGGCTAGTGCATGGCTGTTTAACACACCTTACTGGGCTCAGTACAGTGTTTTAAATGCAAATGTCTGTCAAACATCGTTCCTGATTATGACACTGACACGTGAATGTGAGGCAACGCAACGAGTTGATGATTGTCCGCGTTTCTGACCCATGAATCAGCAGCAGCAGCCAAATGGAGCGGTGAAATCGGCTGGGGTGTGCTGATGTAATTGGGAGGCCTTCATCCAGTGGCGGATAGAGCACGGCTGATGTGGGTGATGATAAACACATCTGCATAAC